AACCAATGACTAAGCGTAAGTCTTCCAAACTAATTACACAGTTCAGCATGTGAAGTATAATTGGAAGCCTCCAGATGCGGGCTGCTTCGCTTTCACAGGAGTTACATAAAGTGAGAACTGCCTGGCGAGCTCGGCCCTGAGCGGCCCTAACATCGAGGTGAGCAGCTGAAAGGTGCAGGGCTGCTCCATCCGGGACGAAGCCGAGAATTCATTACATTTAAAAGGCCTCTTTTTGATCTCCAAAATCCTATAAGTGAGAATTTAAGAAACCGGTACTTGAAGGAGGGGCCTACAGGGGAGAAGGGGGGGAACCCATGCACATGGACTTTCTTTGATCCGGTGCTTTTTCATTACCAAGCGAGGCTGTTCAGGATGGCAATGTGGGGGAACAGCAGAGGGGAGGCCAACGCATTGCCAGGGCCTGTGTGGATCTAGAGCATCGTTTACGTGCCAGTTTTTGGAATGGTCTATATACATCATTCCTGTATGTATGAAATCATCAGCACAGATAACGCCCACTAAGAAACCTGAAGCAGTAAAATAAATTACTGTATATCAATAGTCTTGATGAATGAACAAAGCCCGATCCCTCTGAGTATGGGGCTGCTTAGCGGTAAAGCAGGAGGTGAGGTTTAATAAACAGCCAAAAGAGGCGAGGGCTAGATTGTACAAAAATGAGTGACTACCCAGGCTCTTCTGAGCATGGGCTATGTGATCTTGGACAATTTATTGACCTTTCTCAACATTAGTTTTGTCATCTACATGACAGATGTTCTACCTATCTTGCCTGACAGCCTTGAGAATCAAATTTTAAAATGCATTAAAAAAGCACAAAGCACACATCCTTCTAATTCAGAAACATCAACTCAAGGAATCCTCCTAGTATACGCTGAATTTCACAAATTCTGAGTCTTCATTAATTTAGATCTAACCCATGTAATAGGGAGTTGGAAATACTCTACAGTTTTGCTGTATCTTACTCATAGGATGAAGATTCCGGTTTATAAACAACAGTTTTTTGCAAACAGAGAATTCACTGTCCCTGCCATCTTACGTCAAGAAAATAACTCCCACAGTTATGACTGTTTTTGCCTAATATATCATGTTTATTACTATTGATAATACCTTGTTTTGGTTACAGCCTATAGATAACATAGACATCTATCCATCCACTTATGTATGTGTATTTAAACCACTTTCTAAATTATTGAATTTTCATGTTTGAAAGCAATCTTACGAATAATCCAGTCAAGGGGCTGGTAAACTATGGCTGAGGGAAGAACTGTGGCCCACCACCTGTATTTATAAATAAAGTTTTATTGAAACACAGCCACTCCCAATTGTTTGCTATGGCTGCTTCTCCATACAATAGCAGAAGTGAGGAGTTGTGACAGAGACTATATACTCTGCAGAGCCAAAAATGTTTACTATCAGACCTTTACATCTCTTTGAATCCCTTCTCTCACATGAGAAACTGAGGCCAGGAAAGAAATGGCTTGTTAGGTATCACAGTGGGGTCAGACCCATCATGAGGGCTTGGCATAACTTCTCCCTTCCCTCTGTCCAATGACAACACCGGAGCGGCTGGGGATGGCCACCCCAGTTAGCCCGGTCCTTGTGCCAACGGCCACACTGCAAGATCTCATCTTAAATATAAACAAGTCACGACATCCCTAACAGGGGTGGGGGACGGGTAAATCTTCTCGGAGAAAAGTGGGAGAAAAGCACAAAAGGGTTTACAAGCCTCCAATTTGAGTTATTTAAAGCTCCCGGTGTGTCATGCCGCACCCACTCCACTTACAGTAATGACATATTTCAACGCCCTTAGCTCAGCCCCATGATAGCAGTCTCACCCATCTTGATTGCCACCCGAAATACACAGTTGAAGCAGCTGCCACCTTGGGCAAGCTGAGAAGAGGGGAAGGAGAGAGGCATGAGGGAGAGAGGAAGGGAAACCTAAAAGGAAGGTAGCGAACCCTGAATGGAGACTGTAGAAGGATGGAAAGTTCTTGACTTGGAAGAAGAGGAAGCAGGGTTGAATTCTAGCTTTCTACTGCCTTACCTGGGTGACCTTAGCTGAGACTTAACTTTCCTGACGCTTACTGCCCACTTTCTTCGGATGGGCTGATGAGCCCGAATTCCGCGGTGCAGATGGAATGAGGCGATGCATGTGCCGGTTCCCAGCACTGGCTGGGGCAACTGGAGGGGCACAATCTTTCCTTTTCCTTTGCATCCTCCCCTCCCTAAGTCCATCCTGTGGCTTGAAGGGCAGTTAGAACGGTGCCCAGAGTTCAGGTTCTGTTATCAGACAAGCCTGCAGGGGGGTCTGCATCTCACTCTGCATTCCTCATCTTTCAGGGCTCTGCGACCTTGAGTCAAAGACTTAACAACCTACAAAATGGGCAGTACCCCCAGCAGCCTCCCGGGAAAGAAATGAATGACGTAAGTCAGTGGCTTGACCCAGTATCCCATACTTCTACTAACTAGAAGTTACTAAGTTAGTACATACTCACTAAGTAATAAATTACACCTCACTTAACTAATTTGCAGTAAACCAACTGAAAAGCCCTCGGAACAACTTTACAAAGGCAGGAATGTGCGAATAAACTTCATGCAAGCATGTGAATGTGCGCGTGTGCATGTGTTTGGCCTGGTTCCTTCTTCCAGAATATAAACTACTGAAAGGTAGAGTCAGTTCATCAATTTGTTACCTCCTTTCAAGGCTGCTGGATTTTCTCTTTGCCCGTAAGGCCCCAAGGCAAAGTCTCCCCTCCTTTGATCATTCTGGGTTCCACTGAATTATACCAGAATCCGGAGAGGTGATGGGCGCTGCCCAAGGGGACACAAATGTTAACACTAGCCACCAGCCTAAGGAGGAATAAGCTATTCTAAAGACAGACCCAGAGCATGTGTATGAAACAGGCTATTAACACATGAGCAGAGAGTGTTTTGGTTTTGATACATTCAAAAACCTCCCTCATCCTTTAATGAAACACTTGATGAGTTTCTCCATCCTGCTGGAATTCACAAATATGTTACCGCAAAACTGACTGAGTGGCTTCAGACCAGGCCAGGGTCATGCTAGGGAAGACAGTCTGTGACTGCCCCCCAGACAAGGGGACAAGTGTTCTCAGTGCAGCGACCACTGGGCCATGGGCCTAGCCAAAGTGCACAGAGCCTCCCACGGGTCACAACTGTGTGTCTTAATGAAAAACAACAGAAAGAAAGAGAGAAAGGAAGAAAGAGAGAGAGAGAGAGAGAAAGAAACCAAGAGTTGGGGATGTAGAGATGTGGCAAGTACAAGCCTGTTTGGAATATGCTAACAGCCCATCTGGGCAGCATCCACTTCCCTGACACCCACAAACAGACCCACGAGATTCCAAGGCAGGTTATGGCTTGAAAAAGAAATCCCACCTCACATTTGCAAACACTACCCCTGGCCTGTTTTAAAGGTGGAACGCGAGCTGGACTTGTCTCCTTTAATTATTTCCAATCTCTCTCCCTAGGCAGGGCAGGGCTGGGCGATAAACAATCCCCCTGGTGCTTTCAATCCACCTCGAAGAGAAGCAGGAGAGCGCACGCGGGATCACCAACACACTCGGCTGTTTTTCAGAACTGGCCGGAATGAATCAGCCCCCAACTGGCAATGCAGACAGGGCCCCGGGGAAGGCGTCTTTCGTGACCGACCTGGAAGGGCAGTTAAGTGCCATTCTGAATGCAAGGCTGGGCTGGAGGAGGCTGGTTTCTCTTTGCTGCTTGTTCTCCCATCCATGCAGGAATTGATTAATACCGGAGACAAAAAAAAATTCTCCATTTTGAGGCTAAGTAGAGGTCAGGGCACTCTTCCCAGACAGTAGCTCACAACTGGACATACCTGGGGACAGGGTCACAGCTGCCATCGCCTTGGGCAAATGAATAAAGCACAGAACCTTCAGGCTGGGCAGTGGGTGCAGTGCCTTTGTGCCACCCAAGACAAGCATGACTGCTCAGGGCAGGGGGGGTGGACATGAATGACGGAGCTCAGAGCAGGCGCAGGGTCTCCTCACAGGACGCATCCCTCTGCCAGGCCAGCCCCTCAGCAGGGGCTGTGGGGAGGGGGGATGCAGACCTGTGCAGAAGGAACCCTCTCACCTCTGGCTCCCAAGACAATGCCTGCAACTACCTAAAGATCCAGGAACCAGAAAGCTCAGACCCTCCCCTGCCAGGCTCTTGAGACAAAGAAGCAACCAGGGTCAGCTCCCCACAAGCTGCCCTGTGGGAGCCCTGGGGCAACAGTCATCTAAGGAATATGTCATCTTCAGGAAGGACCCACTCTCCAAAGCACCGGCTCCCCCCGCAGACTCGAGGGAGGCTCAGTTAAACACAGCACCCATGGGGACTATTCTGTCTGTCCGTCTGGCGCGCGCACACTCTCACTCTCCGCCTGCTGACGGATTTGGGGCGTCCAGTGTTGCTCTCAAGCCTGCTCCAGCAGAGCCCACGGGACACTTTACTGCTGTCTCACAGATGTTCTGACGGGTACGGGCCCAGCATTCTCCCGAGTTTCCTTGGGTGTTTGACAGGGGAAGGTTTACCGCAAAAAGCCCCAGCGGGGCTCCTCTCTCAACCCATTACCCGGAAAGGTGCAGGATGACGCTCAGCTCCAACTCACAGGCCTCTTGCGGCTTCTGTAGGAGCCCCCGCCCTGTGACTCAGTCCTGCATCCCTCCCCAGCCGCTGCCACCGCCAGCTCCCAGCCCGGGCCCCGCGTGGCCAGCCAATGCCAGCACCACCACGCTCGAAAGCCACCCTGTCTGTTCCCACAGGCAGGTGGGGCGTCGTGCGAACACCAAGGTGGGCGGCTCTTCCATCTCAGCTCCTGCTGAATTTCAAGTGAAATCTTGACAGCCAAGTTCAAGGACACAGTTCCTGAGGACACAGCTGTGGCAGAGGCAGGGGCCACGGCAGCCACTTCTCAGGACTGATCAAGCATGTGCTTGCCACCCTCATGCACCGCTTACCTTGCCAAACTGCTCGAAATATTGCTTTACGTCTTCCACCACTGTGTTCGCAGATAATCCGCCTACAAATATTTTCTTTGTTCTTGTGACCATCTGCAAGAAATGACAAGAGGAGGACATAGGTTAACCATGTTATCTACAGCATTGCTCGTCAAGATGCTGAAACAAGCCACTCTCCACATTTCTCTAGGAAGGCAGCTATAGACAGATTCAGGCTGCTTGGAGTGGGCCCTACAGATGTCACAGGGTGCCAGAGAGTCACTCTGGATATCTTAGGCCTGCAGGCTGCAACCTGAAAGCTCAAGGGTCATACAGACCCAGAGTGGACTTCAGAACCTCTTTAGCCATAATGCACAGCTTCCTTCTGACAAAGCAGCACAGAGAGAAAAGTTGCAGGCTCAGAGTATTTAAACCTAAGAGACATGAACAAAAAGGAACTAACTATATGCATAAAAATCTGCTGCCCAGAAAGTACCCGTAAGATCTGTCAATAAGAAAAGCACACATACTTCAAAAATATGTGTGGACTATCTACAATGAGCAGTTCGGGTGCATGTCTTCCAACAAGGCACACACAAAAAACACCTGCCGAGCTCAGTCCCCACCTCCTTCCTCTCAGGTTCTCATGATTTACCCTGCTTCACCCTACACTCAGTCGAGGCCAGCTAACCTCTGGGTCTCCACACCTCTGTCCCCATAGGTCCTCCTCCTTGGAATGCTTCTCCATGCTCAAGTCTCCCATGGCAAGTAGTGACCACCCTCCAAGATCCAACAACCTTCTCCAGAATTCAAAATATCTACATAGTCGCCCCGTCCAGAAGCTGTTGCTCCCTCTTCTGAAACACCCAGCACTGTGCCCAACAGCTTCTCACGGCAGTCACGATGCTACTTTCTGCCTAATGCTGAAATCATCGACAATCCTGTCGTCCTTACTTCCTCCCCTGGAAGACAGGCTCCTGATTCCTTGCAGTCCCCCTGCCCCACACACAATGCCAAGTACAGGGCTTGCCAGGCACATAGAGCCCAGAAACGTTTGGGGGCTGCAAAAACAAATGCTTATGGCCACATTTCACAATTCCACCCATTTCGAAGCAAAGGAAGAAGGAAGCTCAATGCCATAAACTGTTCAGAGCAGCAGAGACCAAAAGTCTTAACACGTAGGAGCTGAGAAGAAAAAAGAAAACCAATTTTATTCTGAAGACCTTTAGGCTATGTGGGGTTTTTGTAAAAGTCCAATAAAAAAATTTAAAACTCAGTAGGTATAGGGTCTTACCAGTTTAGTTTGGTTGCATGTAATAAAAAAAAGCACAATGTCTTAACGGGAGGAATCCAGTCGCAGTGGATCCATATACCAAATCATGATGTTATATGCTGTAAATACCTTACATTTTTATTTGTCAATTATATCTCTATAAAGCTGGAGAGAAATGTTTGATGAGAACATGCATACAAAGAAAAGCATGACTGAAACGCAAAAAGAAAGGACTGAGACAAATCTTGGAACCCATTTTTAAAAACCCACAATGTTCCATTATGTCTATTATATAATTCAATACAAGATACCCAAGTCCAGAGGCCATGGCTGCCTGAATCACTGCTATCAGCAAGGCTCCTAACCAATCCAGTGAGAGACAAAAACCAGCCCACCCACCTCCAACAGGGGAGCCTCAGCTGAGGGACACCGGGGGCGGGAGGGGGGGTGCACAGTGGCCACTTCCTGGGAGGCCGTGCAGAGGAGGGTAAAGGAACTGGAATCCTGCCTCTGTGTCTCAGCCTGGGGGTGTGACCCTGGACAGGACTCGCCCTGAGCTCCGGGTTCTGTCCTCTGCACAGCGACATCCTGCCCGGAGCCCCAGGTCCCTGTCTACAAGCATGATGGCCACGATGGCGGAGGCAGCTCCTGGGGGGACGTCTGCCAGTGCAGCCTGCTGATTGAGCCCACACTGGAATATCCTTGGAAAATAACGGACTTCCTGCACTATTTTAAGAGGACGCTGCCCTGGCAAGTTCCTGTCGGCTGGGACAGCCATGCAGTGGCTTGCACTTGTGTTTGGTGCTGTGATTTACTGTGTTTCGCCTCTTTGAGATGAACGGGAGGTTAGATGAGACCATGCACATCGGGATGTTCTGTGACCATCCCACCCACGTCCACACCACCAGGCTCCAACAACCTCTCGGTAAGAGGTAGCATCTTATTCTGCTCCTTATCAGGCATCTCAGTTCTCATCCATTCCTTAAGTCTCCCTGGTGGACAAGGCCACCTCGCAGCGAAATGCCAGCAGGCCCTCTCCAGATTTCAATCTCTCCCCATACTCACTAATTGCCAGAGTTTACTAACCTAACCTTCCTCGCGTGTTCATTCAACAGGTATAGTTAAGTGCTAGGTGCTGGACCTTACCTTCTATTATAATATGGAAGTTAATCCACTGTAAAACAGCGCTAGAATAGCCTACCACACAAGGTTTCTATTAGGAATAAATTAAATCACATATGCCAAAGTGCCTAATGAGACACCAGGTAGATGCTAAATAAATGGCCACTGTAGCTGAATCCTAACCCTGTTGCTAAATTCATCCTTCAGGCTCAGGACAAACGTGCAGCAGAAAGACACCTTGTAAAGAGAACTTGGATGCGTCTCCCCTTACTGCCCACTCCTTTCCACTATCATTGCAGAAACACTCTCCTGCACTCCACGTGATTTCAGACGGGCAAACACTCCCAACAGTTCCATTTTAGATTTTTCATTCCTTGTTTTTCATCCCAGCCAAGTAATTAAAGATCTATAAAGAAAACCCTAATATGATCCACAAATACACACAAGTGGAGTTTTCGACTTAAACTCCAGAGAGGCATTCTACAAAATGAACCCCATGGTCTAACTTACACGTTGTTTAGAGCCAGGTAGGTATAGAGCAGGCCTTGTTTATATTCCAAATGTTCATGTGGACCCAGAAAATTAAACGACCAATGTGTCTTCATTCCATATAACAGACGTTAACAGAATGTTCATTCCCCAGCAACTGGTTAAATGCAAAGGTCCCCTTGTACACCCTCCACTATTGCCTTAAAGCCATAAACTTGCCAAGACAGAGCCCTAAACATTGGGGCAGACACCCAGCTATAAATACACAGTCCTAAAAAGGTATTTAAAACACTTTTTAAAAAAAATAAACAAATAAAAGAAGTGAAAGGATGAGAAATCCCAGACCCTAGACAATGAACGAAAGTGTACAAGTTACTAAAACATCCTCTCCAGGAACTAGCTCAGATACAGGGATGCATCCCACTCTGCAGCAAACATTGTAAGGAACCTGGTTTAATCAAAGCCTTCCAAACATGAAAAGGCCCGTGGGAAGATGCGCAGCACTTGGTTAACTGCTCGCCAATGACTGGGCTGCAGGGAGAGGGGAGCTCGGCTGGGGGGCGAGGGCGCTCAGCACGGTGACCTCTCCTGCCTCGGGCATACGGGGGGAAAAGGGAGGGGTTACTTTGGGAATCCTGGTGCCTGCATCACTGCTGAATGGACTGTGGACTGCTTGAGGATCTGCCTTCCGGAGAGGGACTCAGGAAGCAGGCAGAGGACTCTAGAATCACATTCTTCCCACCACTTCCCTTGCATCTCCATGGCTGCTAAGAAGGGCAGGAGGGGACAGGGTTGGGATGTTTGTCAGGCTCTCAGGGGGATGAATGGAGGCCCTCAAATTCTCATCATCAAAGTTCCTGTGTACGTATATGCATGTGTATTCATGTGCGTGTGTGTTTGGCAACAACTGTCTATTCCCGATGCTTGCACCTTGGCTTCCGTTTGCCCCAGGAGCCATCGGGTACCCTCAGAACTTTAACCTTCTTCTGATCTTGAACACACAGTGAGCAAGTTACCCACTGGTCCCCTGGCTCTACAGTCTTTGCATGATAAAAAATCCTCTCCACCCACAAGGCACAGAGACACCTGTGCTTTCTTCCTGTGTTAGGCCCATCGGGTAACTGTTTCCTAACCCATAGCGCTCATACCCATGCAGCACTTAACCACACGAGGTGCGCACGGGGAAGCCAGCCACTGCACACTGGCCTGCTCGGCCCCTGACGTGCACCTGGAGGGAAAGGGCCAGAGAGGGCTCAGCCCAAGGTCCATTCGGAATTGATCTTAAATTTCCTTCACTTGGAGTTTTTGGTAGAGGGGTTGCAGAAAACACTGGTATGTGAATGCTTTCCACCCTTAGAGACACGAGACACCCACCAAGAGCCCTGCACCACTGCGGGGACAGCCCGCTCCCTCAGCAGACGCCCTCCTTCTCTGGTGTGGCGCAGCACGCTGGGAAGCGGTACGTGTGTGTGCATGCGTGTGCGTGTGCCACACAGGGGAGGGAGAAGTGTTCAGGCTCTCGCAGCTCAAGGCTGCAAAGTCTTGCATCTAGACCTGTAATTTAACTAAACAGCACTGCTCTCCACAAACCCCTTGGCTCCGCTGAGAAAACCCCAGCACCATTCCAGTTCAGAAAATTGCTGTTTACACGTAAGAACTGGCCAAAGCCAGCTGCTAACTGGAGCTGCGAAGAACACTCCACCTTCCTGCCTCTAACCAGACCGCGGGCTTTTTTCCCCCCATTTCATAAATTCCCTTTTAAAAAATGTGTTACCATCTCAAATGGTCAGAGTAGGGTCACTGGTTGTATTTTTATAAAATAGGATAAGGCAGGGTGTGTGTCTGTGTGTATGTTCCAATCAGAGTCGGGGGGTGGGGGCTGCAGTGAGGAGAGAAATTACACTTGAGAACGAGATTGAAACAGTGGCCCCAAAATATCGGTTGCCGCACAAGAAAACAACAGGAAGTGAATCTTAGTCCTGACAAATGCATGGAAAAAGGCAGGAGATGGCTCTGCGGAGCCTGAAATGGGCATGAGAGAGGCCTGGAGAAACTAAGTCAACCCCTGTTATCATCATGTTCCTGAAAAGAGTTCAAATTCCCCTTGTTGAAAAAAAAATGAGCCACGTTCATGGCCCAGGAACACTGGCTAGTTGACAGATGCTCTTGTACCTGTGTGAACCCCAAGGTCAGAGGACCCTGAAAAGATGTCACAATTCTGGCACTGGGC